AGGTGATAAAAGATTATCCATCCATATTTCTTAAGGAAATGAGAATAGCAATATATAGCAAAGCAAAGCAGCTTCGTTTATATACCGCTTCATACTGTGTTATGGAGTGTCTAAGCGGTTTACAACTGTAAGCTCATTGCCCCCCAATAGCTGGGTACTCATTTTAGTGAGCTCGGGAGGATGCAGGCCTGAGTCCTGGCTGGTATTGAACTCGCAACCTTGTGGCCTGTGAGTGAGTGGCTGCTATACAGGCATTTAACCACTGCGCCACCAGGGCTCTTGCTATAGCAATAGCAAGTACATTTTTATACCACTTATCAATGAAGTAGCACTCCCTAAGTGGTTTACAGTCTGTAAACCCATTGCCCCCAACAAGCTGGGTACTCATTTTACTGACCATTTTACTGACCCAAGGATGGAAGGCTGAGTGGACCCTGGAGCCCTCCTCTAGGATTGAATTTACAATGTTGTGGCTGCAATACCAGCATTTAACCACTAAGCCACCAGGAACGGATAGGGATGATGGCCTGGTTCTCTGCTGCAGGTAACAGCCTCTTATTGGCCTCCAGTGGGAATACATTGTCAGCATGGGTGAGATAGTGGGAATCCTTGCTATCTATGATCAGGGATTAGAGAAGGCATAAAACAAATATCAAGTGAGGGTTCAGATGAAGCCAGTGGAAATGGTGGCACCTGATTTTGAGGCTTAGCCGATGATATCTGTTCTGCCAGCTTGGTTGGGCAGAGGAAATACAGGCTGGCTCCTGGGACCATTACAGTTCCCTCAATCCCACCATGAGAACAGTATTGAAGACTTAGGGGCTCTGCAGACGGGTGGCACAGAACCACCCCAGGAAATGGCGGATTGGGGCCGCAGCAACCCCACGCCGTGGCCCCAATCCTCCCTTTTGCCACCCCAAAAAGAGCAGCAAAATGCCACTCCTTTTAGGGGCGGCAAAAGGCCGCCCTAAGAGCCGGCACCGTGGCTCTTCCTCGCCCTTTCAGCGCAGTGTGTTCAAATACTGTGCTGGGAGGGCGTCCTGATGCTGCACACCATGTGTAATGGCGTGCAACATCAGGACGACATTGGTGTGGGGTTGGGGTGGCTGGTGGGCGGCTGCCCCGCCCCAACTCTACCCCCAGGCCGGCCCTTTGGGCCGGTCTGCAGAGGCCCTGAGTTCTGTGGGCAAGTGAGCAGCAACAGTGGTGAAGAATATGAGCTACCATCATTTACTTACTTGTCCTCTCCCTCTGAGCAGCAGAAGGTCTTTAAGCAGAGGCTGGATGGCCATCTGTCAGGGATGCTTTGATTGGGAGTTCCTGCATGGCATAGGGTTGGACTGGATGGCCCTTGTGGTCTCTTCCAACTCTATGATTCTATGAAAGGCAGGACTGCAGACTGCCGAATGGAGAACGGCTGTAGCTCAGTGGTAATGCACATGCTTTGCATGCAGACACTCCCTAGTCTTTCCAACTAGGGTTGTGAAAGATCCCTGTCTGATAACCTAGGGCTGCTCCATGTCAGTGTAGTTAACCATAGACTGAGGTAGCTGAGAAAATGGCTTGAGTCAGTCAGTTTCTTATCTTCTGACTTTCAGATCCCCCACACTCAAATCTACCATTGTGATCAAAACAGCTTATTGGAAATAATGTGTACGTGTGAATGTGCCTTCCAGTTGCCTGTTGACTTATGGCAATCCCAGGAGTTTAATAGGGTTTTCTTAGGCAAGGATACTCAAAGGTAGTTTTGCCAGTTCCTTCCTCTGAAATATAGCCTCCAGCACCAGGTATTTGTTGGCAGTCTCCCATCCAAGTACTAACCAGATTAACCCCTGCTTAGCTTCCAAGATCAGAAGGGATCTGATATATTCAGTTAATTCCAGTATCCTTATTTCACAGACATCCATTAGTTGTCCAAGGATACTGACCCAACCTTGCAAGGGGTTATAAAGTGCTAGCATGGGTGAAGGGAGGTGGGCTGCAGAAATTGATTCAGGGTAGGAAGTTTTGTTCTGCCTTGGCAGACAAAGGTAGATACATGGGTGGCGAGAATGAGAATGCAGGAGGACTGAGAGACAGTTTGGAAGCCAGCTGTGTGAGCAAAGAGAATCGTTTAATAGCATGGTGAGAGATGAGAGATGGAGATGGGGAGGGGGTCATATGTGGAAGCTGAGCTGGAGGAGGGCACTGGAGAACAAAGGCGAGGAGATTGTGTTTAATGCACAAAGAGGCACGATGCCAGCAAAGTGGCTGGGAGGAGGAGAAGGGCACATGGTCAGAATGACAAGCATAAAAGATGGTGTTGGCAGCAATTTGGATGGGCTCAGAAGGGGGCAAGAGACGAATCAGAAAAAGGCCAGAGGGAAGGTGATCCGGGCAGAAGGACAAGGCTTTTCAGTACAGACGGGTGGAGGGGCTTGTTGATGGTCTTATGGAGGTGAAGCTGAGAGGATTAATATCAAGAGATTTCAAGAAAGAGGGTAAAAGTGCACAAGGGGAGGGTGTTGTTAGAAGATTATTCTGCACTATATGTGGAGGGAGAGATGAGTTTTCAGTGGCTTTCTTGCTTCTAGACCTGCTGGAGACAAGCAGCGGGTTGCAATATCCCAGCAATATTTCAACTTGTCATTCCCTTCAGATTTACACATGCAAGTATATACCCATAGGAGCAGCCATGTTGTGTAAACAATGGGGCAAAGAAAGGTCATGAGATGCAAGAGATGGAAGCCTTGTTTAGGTATTCTCTGTCTGGTAAAAATAAACCCACAAGGACGGGAAGAGTGCCAACTTCACCCCACCTGCACCGTTTCTGTTGCCCTCAAAAATGTAGAGGGCAATGAAAGCTGTGACAGATAGGAGTGAGGCTTGTGTTTTTGCTCCTCCTCTCATGTTTATTCTGTCTGTGCAAGTCTGTGCTATTCCTATGCAAAGCTCTAACATGCACAAGACAAGCCCAGAAGCCATCTAAATAGTGGCAACGACCCTATTCCCTAGCTTTACTATGCTAACTGAATACTGGTAGTGGGAAAGAAGACCTTGGTCTCAGTTGAGACTTTAATAAGTGTCAAAATTACTGTTAAATTGATTTAAATCAAAGTTAGGTCTCAAGTTTTCACCACAAATCTCTTTTGTGTGAGAGCAACTGGACATGGGCAACTGCCTGTGTGTGAGGCAACTGAATGATACAATGCCTTTCTGAATGGTTTGATCTAAGAAGGCTGGCTGCTGCAAGTTAGCTTTGGACACCACTTGTCATCAAATGATGAATGTGTGTTTCTGCCAACTGCCTCAGGCAGTTGCATGTGTCTTTCCCCCAGCCATGTGTTTTCGTCACAGACACAACTGGAACACATCCACTTCTTCCCTGCTGGAGACCATGGCTACCATGGCACCCACAGAGACACCACATTTAGAGTCCAAAAAGGGCCCTGACCCTCATGATTTTGTTTTTTAAGTTTTGTTTCTAATGTAAAACAGATCACTAGGCGCATTACAAAGCAAGCACCAATGTGAGTGCCATGTTTATTTCCTCCAAAATGCCCCTTTGAGACTTCTACTGAGATCAGAAGAGAGACAAACCTGAGATATGCGTCACTTTGAAGCTTTTCCATGCATATTTCTTTGAATAGGGTTTTGGACAAGAGAGTAGGGAAGATCAGCTGGAATGGAAAATACCTCTAGGTGCCTATCCCCACTGTCTGTTAACAGTTGTTCCCAACCTTTGGATGTCCAGATGTGTTGGACTTTAGTTGTCAGACCTGAGTCTTGGCCAAGCTAGCTGGAGTTTCTGGTAGCTGAAGTCCAAAACACTTGGAAGACCAAAGGTTGGGGCCACTAATCTATAAGATTTACAAAAGGAGGAATGAAAGAGATGCCCTCTGCTTTTCTCTAAATTTGGCAGCACTTGGAGAAGTTTTTTTTTATCACAGCTCCCAGAATCCCCCAGTCAGTATGGCTGATTGCTATGCTGGCTGGTAGGTTTGGGAATATGTCCAAAAATTCAATTTTTCCAGGCTCTGATCTTGACACATGCATCTGTGAATCACCTGTTGGTAACAGATGATTCACACATGCATGTTGATCCCAGTTATTAGGCTCAACAGAAAGCAATAGACTGCATATATGAAGCAGCCATAACAAATGAAACACCACTACCTGAATTTTCATTGAGTGCAAACTCACTGAGTGACGAATTGGGATGCTATGTATACTCAGATGTGAATCAATCATGTAAAAACTGGAAGAAAGAGGGTGGCCACTTATAGCTTGTCAAGGAAAGGGGAGAGGAGGAGGAATAATCTATCAGTAAGAAAAGAGGGCACAGATTTGAATATAATTTGAACATACTGATTAATAAGTACAGTGGGAGGTTTTGACATGATTATTGTTGTGTGCCTTCAAGTTGATTCCGCTTTATAGCTACCCTAAAGCAAACCCATCATGGGGTTTTCTTGCCAAGATTTGTTCAGAGGAGTTTTGCCATTGTTTTGCCCATAGACTGAAAACATGGGACTAGCCTAAGATCTCCCAGTAGGTTTAATGGCTGAGTAGGGAATTGAAACCTGATCTCCAGAGTTTGATGATACTTTATTACGGTCAAAGACCAGCATAAAAGAAACAAAAAC